ACATGGTTATAGTCCACACAAATAAAGACTGCCAAGGATTCACACATGCTCTTCAAAAAAAAAATCCATCCTCTGGTGATCAGATATTAAAGAACTTAAATTCTAGCTCAGATCTATTGTTGCTAGATCTCCACAGATTATGACTCCTCAAAGACTCTGTCTCAGGAAGGTGAGTACTGTTACTCTACTTCAAATGGGCTGGCCGCCTTTTACACATATCTTGACATAAAGAAGAAAGCTGTGTCAGAAACCAGATAATAATCATTGCAGATATTTACACAGCATTTATCCTGTGCTACAAGCATGGTTAATGTTCTGTACAGGCATGTATACGAGGGTGTTATGTAATGCTATTTCCCTAGGCACATCTATAAAGACAAGATTATTATATGTACAGTTTTATGGGTGGAATGAACTAAGGTACACAGGAGCTGAGAACCCTGCCAGAAGTCACTCAACAATAACAACATGGAAAGGCCTGAGCCAGATACTGTTTCTAAAAGTTAAGCATTCCTCATCACTTTAAAACCTTTAACAACTATATGTTTTACCTTTGGAAAACAGACCAACAAATAATATAGAACAAGGCTATCAAAATCAACTGAGCAATGCTCATCTGAACTGACATAGACTGACCTATCAAACATAGGACCTACATGGTTCTACACCAGGTCTTCTGCATATATTATTGTTTTCAGTTTAGTTTTCTGCAGTATTCCTGTATTTTTTGTTCATTCTCTCTCTCTCTCTCTCTCTCTCTCTCTCTCTCTCTCTCTCTCTCTCTCTCTCTCTCTCATCTTTGTGCCTCTCTGTTTCTCATGTGTTGTTATAGGTATGTGCTGGCAAATAATATTTATTCAGGTGTGGATGGATATGGTATATGTGGTAGAGGCCAAAGGGCAACATTATGTGACATTCCATAGAGCCTTCTTTTATTTACTTTTCAAATATTTATTTAGTGTGTATGTGTGTGTGTGTGTGTGTATGCATGTATATGCCATGGTGGCATGGTGAAGTCAGAGGACAACTTACAGGGCTTGGTTCTATTCTCCTACCATGTGACTATAGATCAAAGTCAGTTTGCAAGGCCTGGCAGTAAGCACCTTCCATGCGAAGCATCATCCTGGCCTTTACCTCACTTTGTGAGACAGGCTCTCTCCATGGCATAGTGCTTGCTAATTAAAGAATTCTCATGGTGATCAAACACCAAGAGACCTTGGTGCTTCTCCTTTCCCAGAGCTGGGACTAACAAGCATGCCACGATAACTACTTTTTTTTTTACCCCATTTATGAGTTCTGGAATCTGAACTCAGATCCTCATGTGTGTGTGGCAATATTTTGTTGACTTTTAACTTTTTCCAGCTCCTTTAGTTTTGCATTTTTTTAATTTTATATTTCACATTTAGCACCAACTATTTAAAATATTTGTATACTTTTGTAAATTTGTAAATTTTATATAGTGTGTTTTTATATTGGTAGCCTTAACACCAACATCTTTTTTTGATTTTGAGTTAAATATATATTAAGGTATTCATTACACCTCTATTTAAATGGGGATTTTGTACAATGATTTCATTCAATCATACATATTGAAAAGTGATTTGTAAACCCAAACTTTACATCTCCTGTATAATATTCACATAAACTTTACAAAAGTTCGTAACATTCATTTGGATAGTGATTCCTTTGATTTTTCTTTATTTTTCAAGTTTGCAATTTATTATTATCCATTTTCACTATCAGTTTCTGTATCCTTGCCCAGGTTTTTGTTCATGTTGTTTCCATTTATGAAATGTTCTCTTAACTATTTTAATATATCTATACTTTATAAATAAATATCTTCTTTATATTTTTTCTCATGAATAGTTAATGTGATTTTCTTTCACTTTTTTTGTACTCAGACTATCTACCGATGCTTAGAAAAGAATACTTTCTTGCTCTGCTTATGTGTAAATATACTGTGAGTTTAATATCGAGAAACTTTTCATTATTGTAAATTTTGTTAATATATACCATTTACTTGGTATACACAATTTTTCGCACACCGTGTAAAAATATTGAATAAAGTCTGTGTTTGGAAAATAAGCAACTTATAAATCAATTTGCATAAACCATGTCAATGGTTTGTAATAAATATAGAATTAATAATAGCATATAATATTATTGCAAAGAAATGATGACTGACATTAAATAAACATGTGAATAATTTTAAACCACAATTGTTTCTGTGAATAAATCTTGATTTAAATTCTACCATCAAAAGATATTTATTCAAATACATACACATTTTAAAATAATAATTGCTTGCCCATTTTATTTTTGCTTACTTTTTTCTTCCTTTAAGTTTTCGTTTTTTCATACAATATATTTTGATCACAATCTTTGTGCTCCCCTAACTCAGGTCTTCCTCACCTCAGTACCCATCCAATTCTATGTATTCTCCCTCCTGTCTTCCTTTTCCCCAAGCCTATATCTGTCAAAATTAAAAACTCCAAAAGTAAATAAATAAATAATATTTTTAAAACACAGACAAAAAATAGAAAGAAGAGAAGGAAAGAAAGAGATGGGGAGGGCAGTAGAGGGGAGAGAAAGGGAAAGAAGGAAAGGAGAGAGAGAAACAGACAGACAGAGATATAGACAGAGACAACAGAGAGACAAAAAGAGAATAAATCAGTAAGACAAAAGATATCATACCAAACAAATTCCAGGGAAACACCCATTCCTAGTTGGCTAATACAAAATAGTAATCAACCTTATTCTTAAAATATACTATGTTTAGTTCTTTCTAGAAGAATTCCATAAATCTGAAGAATGTTTTACTATGATGGGGTAGACTATATATTAGAAAAAGATTTTATGTTTAGCTCTTTATATATACCTGTTTATAACAGGGTGAAATTTTATTTTTATTTCTTTCCCATTTCTCTGCTTTTTCTATTCAGTTTTTTAAAGTTTCTAAATTTCATAATTTATAGTTGATAAGGATTCTTTTCTCTTATCCTATATTCTCCCAACTGATTTATCTGCTATGTGAATGCTACATCCATAAATTCTGTTCTCTTAGCGAAAATGTTCATCCTCAGGCCCTGTCATTCTTTGATATTCTACCTACTAATTCTGTTCACTCATTTGATTGAAAACTGATATTTCAAGTAACTTCAAAATCTAAATCTACACAACCTAAATTACACATATTTTCCTACTTTCTATTCTGTTTTATTTTTTTTACTGACAACATTATTATCTTAAAGAAATAAATATAAATATACCTTAAATATCTTAAATTGTTTTTCCCTCTGTAGTTATTATGGAGATCTAGCCAGTCTCCTGGACCTTTTTCCAAACAACCTTTCTGGTTTTTCTTTGTTGCTCATGTAGTCTTTATTAATAAAATTATTTTATTTCATTAGACTGCTTAAATATCACTCTAACTTTGCTTGGGGTCTCTAATTGTTTCTTACATTTCAGCTTTTACACTTTTTATACATTATAAGTAGGATGATACATATATATACATATATATATGTGTGTGTGTGTATGTAATATATAGTTTTATTAAGTGACAATAATACTCAATAAAGTAGTTATCAAAATAAGAGAAATAGCATATATTAAATAGCAAGCATTTTTTCTTAGTTTTTTACCAATATCATGACATCAGAACATTGGACAAGTTTGCCTTTTCCATAACTCAAGGTTCATTCAATTGAATCTAAAATCTCCTTCTCTAAGGTCTTGAACAGCGACTCTATCTGCATTTCCAGTGTCTTATTATAAAACATACTGTGTTCCTTCATCCCTCAACATTATTGAACTTTCCATTCTCCTCAGCTATGGATTTACACAACCAAAGACATACCTGTTCAAGAAATTCCTACTTACTTTAAGACATACTTCAAATATTAAACCACCATTGTATTCATTGACTTCAATTTAAGAGAATAAACTTCTGGGTTTCTCTACCAGTGTGAATGTGGCTGTGCAATAAAGCCTTCATACCATTATTGTGATTATTCTTTAGTTATTCTGCTTCCATCCATTAACAAAATCACTGGAATGCAGGAGCTATATTTTATGTGGTTTGCTTTTCCCATTCCTGGTCCAGTACTGAAAGTAAGTTCTCAACAACACTTTCATAAATGAATGAGAGTGTCATTGAAACAAAGACACAAAGATAATCTGTTATGAAATGTACTCAGCCTTTTCTATGTTAGAAAAAAATGTCATCAAGTTGTCCTGCATTGGTTTAAGAACTTGAATTTTCAGTGGGCTTGGTGATGTGCACCTGCAATCTTAATCCTAAAAAGACTGAAGCCAGGCTCAGTTACACTGCAGACTAACGTAAACGGGAGGAGGTGGTGGTAGCAAGTACACTAGTTAAGTAGATGACTTTCTATGTCTCTCATATAAAATCCATAGATTACATTTTTTGCATTTCAAAATAAAACCAAAATAAATATAGAAAACATATAAACATGATATCCTCCACTTTACATTTTAAAAGGTCCATTACCCATGCTTAATTAAAAAAGTTAAATGCCACAACGGAAGTAATGAAACTCTAGCTCAACCTTTTCCTTGTTCTCTAACTGGTAGCACTGACATTACCTTTGTTCATTAAAAAGGGAAAGTAAGAAAAATTACCATAGGAAACCTTTAAATATAATATTCTACTCCCCCTGAGTTAAAATCTAACAACAACAATTAAAAAAAAAACTTCCTATATTTACATAGAGATGAGTGCTGAGTGTAGTGCGATTAAACAGAAAATAATAATAAAAAGAACCAAGAAAAAAATGCTACTAAATATAGTCCTAGAGTATTTGTGTAGTCTATGCATGTGTTTAACATGTGGTACTGATTATATTTTGCCATTCTGTGATTCTGGTTTATCATCCAAAAGCTAGAACCAATGTTTCCTGCATAAAGCATGGAGGTGACTAGCATCAAGAGAGAGAAACTCTGAAACAATATGTGCTGTATTGAAGGCTCTCACTCACCAAACACAGTTCTCGCTGGTACTGATTCTCTGTTCAGCCAGAATGACACTTGAGAGAGAATGACAGTCATGATGCAAGGCAGATAGGTCTGAATCACAAAATACCCAATTTTTCTTTTCAAGTGGAAATGAGCTGTCATTACAGTATATTCACCTGGAAGGAGAATTTAAGAAGCTTAAGGAACTGTAATTGTCAACATTCAGAGCAATTTGGAAATGGAAGGGATTACAAGAAGAATCCCTGATAAAAAGTAAAAAGAAGAAGAAAGAAAAGATCACATACATTTCATGAAATCCAGAAATGCCTAGTTAGAACAAGAGTATTAAAAAAAAGAATTACACAGTATCAGCCACCTTCTACTGCTATGCCCCCATGACATGGTGTTCATTTTTCTCTTTAGCTCATGCCCACTCCCCAGCATGATTCTAAAGACTCTGGTAATGGATTATCTTATTGGCTCAGGTGCCTCATGCTGTGGCAGTAATTAAGTGAACTCCATCCTCCTGGGTCTCCAAAGCACTGGGACCTGGACTCAGCATAGATGCTGCTCTTTCATCCCAGATTTTCACTTTTAACTCTGTCACTAATTCTGCCTTTCTCTCTGCTTTGTGCCTGCTGTAATTTGCTTCAGTCAGTTTTGTCTAATTCTCATACCTACCATTTTGGATTTTTTTCTTCTCCCACAATTTTAATTAACGCCAGATGTGAGATAATCAGTCCACACAGGTGCCCTTTTCTTTACTGAGGACAGCCTCAGAGATGTTTCCATGCAGGCCACTGGCAATTACCCAGAAATCAGGGGTTGAATAATTATAAATTATCCACAATAGAAAAAAAAATTGAATGAGAAAACTAGGAAATATGTTATCCCTGCTTTGAAGATAAACGCTAAAGTTGACTGATCTGAGAAGACAAACATTTTTGAGTATATGGTACATTTTGTTTTAAGAGATGGCTTCTTAAACTTGCACATACATATGGATCTCTTTGGAGTCTTGTTAAAATGCAGACCTGCTTCAGTAAAGGAGTGGTCTAAGATTATGCATGTCTCAAAAAGCTCCCAAGAAATATGTGTTATTAATCTATATATCCCAAGGGTAAAATATTTTCAATCATAAACATTTTTAATGATTTATTTTATTTTATTTTATCTTTTATTAGATATTTTATTTATTTACATTTCATATGCCATCCCTTTTCCCCATTTCCCCTCCCTAGAAACCCCCTACCCCATCCCTCCTCCTCATTTTTACTTTTATAACATTTTAATTACATGCAAGTATTAAGGTCAGTTCTAGGTTAAGGAACTAGCAATATATCCTACTAGTTTGAGAGGGGAGGCACTAGGTTTATTTTTAAAAGGTTACTAACCTGTGCTGGATTTAATTGTCTCCTTCCCAATTGACTGGCCCAACAAATCATACTGATTTAACCTAGAGCCATCAGGAGCAACCTGAACAGAGTCAGAAGCATTGTAAGTCCAAATATACGTGACTTCTGAGGTTGTGTAAGCATCTGTCATGAAAAAGGAACAAATGTTGGAAACACTTGAATGAGTAGCACTAACAGAACAGTCCATCTACAAGTATAGATTCCACACAATCACTATTTCCTCACAAATTAGCATTTAGTGATCACAGATATAGAGGAAAGGATGTCCTTTGAATCTATAACTTTACAAGTATATTGATGAAGAGCATCAGAAGAGCCAATTATGAACATGAAAATACTTTCACTGGTATCACTTTGAGAGTTGAGTAAATTTCTATTTCTAGATGGTAAAAGACAATTTTTTCCAAGATGGTTAAAACATTTCCTAGGTCCCAAAGTGGCAGACAAAGACATTATGGAAACAAGCAATGAAGTTAGTTACACTGTTCATCTTGAAATAGTGACCACCCAAGAACTAAAGATTATGCTCCAAACATATATTACTCTTCGAATATTGAGCTTATTTAGTTAAGATATAATAACTTTAGTAATCATGAACAAAGGCATTTAGTTAGGACAATGAGGACTAATTATAAATATTAAAAACAAATCAGAATATTATATAGTACCGTTACATTATAAATGTGTTTTTAAACATATCCATTTATAAGCTAACCAATGAACACCAAGGTACTTGTATAGAATCCCGGTCAAGATGAGTATTAACAAAAAGGAGAAAGGTAACATCACTGTATTTGTCCAGAGATGGAGGACTTCTCAGAAGTGAGCCAACTCTGGAATTGATCAGTGGTCACACATCTGGCATTAGTAATTCTCTATGTGATATTTCCTTTGCCCTTCTGAGTCCTAAGTTGGACCATCTAAGGCTCCCTGTCCCTATGCAGGAAGTCTCTTCACAATTACAAATAAAAATGGTGATAATTCTGCTCTGCTGCAAATTTTTGGAGAACTTATTTGTAATTTTGTTTATATGACTGCTTAGGAAACAAAACTTAGCATGATAGTGAGGTGACATCTTAACTAGGGAGGAAAACTAGGCCAGTTTCTTCTACCACTATCTCTGCCTTCGGTTCACTATGACTTAAATTAATTTCTTTGTTCTGTATTTTGCACAAAATACCAGGGTACTAACTTGGCCCTCCTACTGAAATTAAGCTAAGGTCTATCTATTACCAAACTGATTTCCTATCAGGTATGAGGTGGAATACATTGAATGATAATATGTATGCTTGTCATTATCTGTGTATGATCTTTAAGTGATATTCAATGTTATATTTCTTTCTGAATGCTGTTACTTAAATTATTATAAGAGAAAATATTCCTTATACTTATATATGGATTTATGCATCCTCAAATAAATTATTTTATGTAAAACAATTTTTAAATTGGGATACTAAAAATAGGTATAGATATAAATACATATTTATAAATGTGGTTGTAATACTTTCATAGACACATATTTACTTGCACATGTAAATTCTAGGTTTTCTAGAGTCTAAATTGCCGATTAGCTAATTTCAATTAAATAATCACTCATTCTGTCACTGAAAACATTAAATAATAAGTTAGCAATGTAGTTAACTAAGCACTCATTTGTAGCTCATCAAGTGGTTTGGTTTGTTTCTCTCATGAGTAAACATCCTGGCCTTTTCCATAATAGCATTTCCAATGCTGAACAATTTAAAAGACCAAACAATCATTGTTTGAATCTTCTTGTTTCTCTTATGAGTAAACATCATGGTCTTTTCTCCAATCGCATTTCCAATGCTGCACAATTTAGAAGACCAAACAACCATTGTTTGAATCTTTTTATTACCATTCACACATGACTAACAGAAATGAAAATTTATAAAAGTGATGATATTCTTATAAAAATTATAAGATAGATATGGGAAAAGGATATTTGAATCATTTTTGTAACTATCCACAATTTTCCTGTTCAATTAATAACTAAGCTGTGTATAGTACAGTAAATCTGTAATTCCTACAATATTCCATGAACACATTATAGAAAAATAAAGTCAAATGAAACATTACAAATATGAAGAAAATGAGTCGTCTTCTATTTGTCTATTTTTAAAAGCATGTACTGCATATCATTAATTAACAATCTATATGATCTGGTTTATATACTGTTTAGGGTTCCGAGAGGAGGAGAAATAGAATGTAATGCAGGGTGGCGCAGAGGCATTTCTTTGGCTCAGACCCACCAGTGACCCAGGAGGGATCGCTATGTTTATCAATAAAGCTTAAATGAAGAAGAGAGGCTAAACACATGGCTCATCACTTAAGAGCAGGTACTACTATTGAAGAGTACCAGCACCCACACTGCCTGGGCTCACAGATTCCTGAAATTTCATATTCAGGTGGATCTGATGCCACTTTTGCTTCTGTAAACATCTGCACTCCAGTGCGTTTACCCCTTGCTCCATTCTACCCCACAAAAGTAAATTTTTTTCAAAGAAGGCAGAAGTCAGTTTGTTTTACAAATTGCTTTATAAATACCACTTTGAAAGCAGCCCTTTACAGAGTGCTTTTATTTAATTTAGTCAAATAATCTATGTTTGAATGCTAATCTGCATTATACACATGTATATTCAGACTTAATACTCAGTAATCAATAAATATATTTCTAAATCACTTTAGACTACTAACTTTTATCTGAAAAAATGTGAGTTTTCTATTTCTTTGAGGCTAATGCACAGAATCCCACTACGCTTATATGCAAGAACTTGCAAGTCAATTCGAAACGTTAAAAACATAAAGCTATAAGGTGGTCAGAGTAAAACAGGAATGGATTTTGAGTTGGCCAAATACTGAGAAGAGGATTATTGTATTTGAGGAGAATGATAAAGTTCCAGAAATTCAATTCTTTTTAGGGTGATGGCACTTGTTAGAAGAGAGAAAGAAATAACTGCATGATAATGTCATGGTCGCTTCTGCCAAAATTGTTCTGCGCCAGCACATTAAGGTTGTTCTCTCACTTCAGAACAGTGTCCACACTGCTAACACAGATGCTTCAATCCTTGCTATACACTAAGATAAGCAAGAGAATGAATAAACTGCTTGTGCCATGTGTCAGAATATGAATGTGAAGGAAGAGAAATAAAATAAGTAATAATTACACTGGGGAAAAAAAGGAACAGAGACTTGTGTGTTAACCATATGCATCCCTTCGCAGAGAAAACTGTAATAATCTCAAGCATCCGAAATCCCATTACTTTGTAGCTGCACTCTGTGAAGCTTTTAATTTGAGATCAAACACTTCTAAGCAAATTCATTTCATTTTCAGTATTGAGGCATCTTGCCAGTGACATCTGATGTCATAGTAACAATACCTCATCTACTGAAAACACTTGTCCTTCCCATATCATTACTGCTTCTTGCATAAATTCTTTTTGGTGCCAAAGCTTTTCAAGTTTCCCTTTAATGTCACTTATGCAATGCAAATGAGGTTCTCTTCTGCATCTGTTCTGGTTTTCTCAACATTGTGTTTACGTTGTATAACATGATTGACTATCTTAAATAATATTGGAAGAAATGCCAGTTTTAAAGAGATGGTTCCCATGACAATAAAGAAAGGCTTGTGGCTAAGCTCAGAGGAGGCTCTCATAGAAAATTGAGAATTGACACCTGCTACAAGGACACACAAAGCAAACAAGCCGGAACCTCTCAACCAAACCATCATCCTTAAACATCAGCTGAATCTGCATTCTCTCGGTGACCATTTTCTTTTCCTTTGTAGTTTGTGAGAAGATGCACTCTTCTTCAGTCAGCCTTACATTTAATCATGTTAGAAGTGGGCACTTCTATTTAACAAGAAAAAAGAAGAGCCTGAAGCTGCTAAGAATGCAGGAAAATGATATGTCAGAAAGAGCACAGATTCTAAAAAGGTCAGTGATGAAGGCATGTTCAGACAGAAGGAGGCTGCCTAGCTGCAATGATGAATTAATCCTGAGCCTGCCTGCAGTGTCCTGTGGGCCTGAAAGGATGATCTGACTTTGCCCTTTCCATTACTTCATGGTGTGAATTCTTCTACTTGACATGTCAGATAAAATTCAGTGACCTAGAGAATGGCCAGAGGCACAGAAACTTTTAGAATCATTCTAGGTACACTGAAGACACTCGAGTGGAACCATCCAATTTTGCCGTCTTCATTACATGTATTCTAAGGAGAAAAAAAGAACTTCTTCCATCAGGTCAGGGATAGACAGACAACTTTACAGGCTTCATGACTTTTTCTAACCTTTGTAACAGATCAATAGGAATTTATCATATATAATTCACTTTAAGTTGAATAGTAACTTATTTTAGATTTTTAATGTGCTAGCATGAGAAGAAAATATGAATAAATTATGGTCATGACTCTACAACAGCCCCTGATTTAGTTTTATGCTCAAACTAAAACATAGTGTTCTTTATTAGTAGTAAAACTAAAATATAATTTAAACTCTAAAAAAGTATAAAAGAATTAAAGTATTTGAGTGAGCCTTAGGAGATTCCAATTAGTTCCTACAGGACAAACATCATAGCTTTCACTTCTGCATCCTCTTAGTCCATTATGAAGCCTTGCATAATATGAGAAAAATAAACTACATGATCCAACAGAGATGTTGTCTACTGGTGATGTTGTCGATTCATAAGATGTATGTTTGCTGTTATACTTACAGCTTCCAAATTTCAGTGGGCACGAGTGGGCATCCATTGGGAAATCCTCCAAGTGCATCGGACATTCGGCTTGAACTGTAAGCCTAGAAGCCAAAATTCCACTCTTGGTTTAAGTGGATTTGCTAGTCAAGCTACATCACTTGATACAGTTTTAAACAGAATTGGAGATTTATATTAGGCTTTAAAAGGTTTAAACACAGTAAAAATAAATTATATATGTATTTGAAAAATGCTTACCATTAACATCACTCTAAATATTTAATACCCAATGATACTTAAAGCTATACTATGGAAAGGGCATCTTTCTTATTGTCATCTTATCAAATATAGAGAGAAGTTGATATAATACATTAGTATTTGCTTCCTTAAGGAAATGCCCCTTTTAATATCTTGTATTTATAGGAAGATATGTATTTAGAAATAGACACAAATATAGACAGATTTACGTATCTCCTAAAAAAAATGTTGTTCATGCATATTGCTTGCTACATTATAGATAAAAATCCATAACCATCAAAAATAATTATTCCATATCTGAGTATAATATAGAAAAGTAAAATCATTGAAAATCTGTTATAAAGAACATTTCTAATTACTTCCATTTCACATGAAAGCAACGTAAATAAACAGGAAGTAGATTGAACTAAAAGAAAAATCTTTCCTAATTGAGCTGAGAAAAAGGTGGTCATCAGCCATCTCTGGCATTAAACTTTACACACCATTTAAATAGGATACTCTGTGATTGTTCCTAACAATATATAATACCTGAACCTTAATCCACAGGAATAAATGGTTTAAACAGGAAGTCATTTAGTCTGCACTAGGTAAGTTTTCCACTATTCAAAAAGAGGAAAAAGAATACCCAGTGATCTTTTTGCACTGTAGCCAATGATTATCTAGAAATAAGTCTTCAACCCTTGTATATCTCTTGCTCCCACGAGGTACATGAAAGACAATGTTAATTAACAAAATCTAGTTCTTAACTTTCCATATGATGTTATAAGATTCATCAGATGCATGGAACACAGTATCTGTACATGCGCAGTGCTAATGGCAGTGTTTTGTCTTTAAATCCACCATTAAGCATTGACATTTGATTCTACATTATCTTATTAGGTATAAAAATGTGAGTTCTTATGTAATAAAGTTAATTTGTTTTAAAATATTCATGAGACTACTTAAAATGTAATTGTAAGTGTCAACAATTGCACATATTTCTGTATTTGCAAGAAAGGATGAACGGCACAAAATTGATGTTATGTGACTATTTTTAATCAGGAAATAGGAATTTTGTATGGTTAAGCCTAATACATGATTTAAGTTAGCCAATTTATTTAATACAAAAAACTATGCTAATGCAGATTAAGATGTGTACTTAAGATCACTTAAAATTAGAAGGCAACTAGAAAGGATACAGAAAAGCAAATTACAACCTTCTGCAAACAAATTTATAAATGTAAACTAAAATGAAATGGGAAGAGTACCAAAAAAATCAGTTTTAACAACTAAGAGACTCTTTAACCTTAAAAAGTAAATTCATTTTAAATTCACTTTTTACTCACGTGCCCAAACTTTTATGAGACCAAACATGAAATATTTAGCAATTTCAAGAAAAATTTCCAGTTGAGCAAATATTTACCCATGTGTTTCCTAGCTTTTCGATGAATGATTTTATAAGGGTATTTTTAGTCTCTCACAACAACATACCTCATGGTGTACAGCAGTGTTCCATCATCCTGGATTCGAAGCAGCTTGTTTGGCATTGTCATATTATGAGCCACTGACTTTTTCCCGTTGTGAAAGAAGGTATCAGGAGTCCAGATTTTGCTAGCCATTAAATTGTTAAGTCGAAGGATATTCATAGGACCTTTAAATTTTAAGCGCTCATCTTTCCATTTTTGTCGAAAGAAAACATCTATTGTATATTCCTAAAATATAAATTTACAATTCCTTTGAAAAGAGTACACGTTTTAGAAATAATAAGACTATAAAATTCAAGGGAAAGTGTATTCTGAATAGTTTACCAAAAACTGTATTGAGAGATATACATATTTTATAAAGATTAGTCACTTAGGTTATCAAGAAATGTTGCCTTTTACAATGGTATAGAGTATCTCTATTTGCATAATTAATTACACATTCTTAAGAAGGAAAGAACAAATTTATCTTGTCTTTTCTCTCTCAGTTGAATACTCTAAGTAACCACATTAAAAGGTGTATCATTTAAAAGTGCTTCCTGTGGGTGCATGCATGAGTAGGTCTGTATGGGTTGTTTTATATTATTCCAAGAGTGATTGAACAGGAAAATTTTCAGTAGTACATATTAAGAAGATATATATATATGGAGAGAGAGAGAGAGAGAGGAAGAAGAAGAAGAAGAAGAAGGAGGAGGAGGAGGAGGAGGAGGAGGAGGAGGAGGAGGAGGAACAGCTTTTAAATTTATTTTCAGATACTCAAGAGCCATCATTTTCTGTTGAGTGTGAATGTGTTAAACATCATTTGTAAAGTTCTTAACCAGTGGTGATGCATCATAGTGCTAGCCAACTATGGGTTAGTAAATGATGAATTCAAGACATAGTAAATAGTTATTAAATCTGTTGCAGTACAAGAATTTTAAAACATTAGACCACTTACAGTCTGAAATTTTCGAATAAAATTCATGCAAAGCATGCTTTACCACATTCATACACACCAGGGCATGATTATGCTGTTATCAGTTTTCAACATTTTAGTTTCGCTGAACTGTGTGCCTCTCAAATTCTCACTTCCCTCTCTTCTGAGGCTCTCATATTCTCTCTCTCTCTCTCTCTCTCTCTCTCTCTCTCTCTCTCTCTCTC